AGCCTGATCCAGATAAAATGAAGAATGCACAAACCATAGATGATGCCAGATCACTCAGAAGAGAGTCATAGAGTTGGGCCGCAGGCCCACACACCTCCTAGACCGTCCCGAATCCCTCCATCATCCCACAAGTGACTTGTCATCTTGCAGGGAGTGGTGGAACGAGCGGATGAGTGATGGAAGTTGGCGTCAGAAGCGAGCGACGCCGGAGATAGCGGGGAATTATCAGTCAGGGTTAGAATGGAGCAGCCAATTGATTGAGGAGTTTGGTCCTGGGAAACGATGGCGGAATGGAATGCGGAAGCTTCTTCTCGGTTTGAATGAGTGGCTTGAGAGGAATGGAGTTGGAATAAATTTTATGACTTGTAATGACTTGGATGTTCTATCGTTCCTCAGTAGTCAATGGTTGGTGGAGATAGAGAGCAGATGTCGAACTACTGATAATGAGGGAGAACCGATGGTTTCGCCATCCACAGCTGATGCCGTGATAAATTGCTTAAGTGGGAGCTTCCGACTCATGGGACGAGAGGAGGGTGACGATCCGTGTCAGAGTAGTCGAGTGAAGATCTTTAAGAAATCTTATAGAGAATATGCGTTGAGTCGGGGAGTGGTGGAAGAATCCGCGCGTCCACTGGAATGGGAGAAATTGCTGAATGTTATCAAGTATGTCCGAAATAAGGTGAAAGTTCTGAAGAAGATGCGGGAGGCAGAGGCTTATCGGGATGCTGCGATGTCCGCGCTTTTGAAGTCCTCGTCCCGTACGGCCAACCACCCGAGTGACAGAGAGACAGGCAGCGTCAGCCTCAATCTGTGATGGGTGATTGGTTGTACTTAGAGACGGTGAATCAAGTTGAACAAGGTCTGAATAATGAAATGATGATGATAAGAAAGAGCCGATTTGATATGAGTCTGAGAAGACTTCCTATCTTTTTTTTTTTTTTTTTTAAGAACTATTTCTTTTCTGTTCTTGTGAAAGAGAAAGGGGTAAGGCCGGGGAGTTGAAAATCATGCTATGATCTGAGTCTTCTACCCCGCATACATTCCTGTCCCAAAATCAATCACGAAACATTCGATCAATGAAAGACAAGCTAATGCTAGGGTAGTTTAAGATTGGATTGTTCTTCCTCCGCTTCCTCATGTATATATAATAAGGTCTAATCACATGGCGCTCTTTTCCTTCTTTCATTGCTTTGATAAACAAATTCTCTCCCTCTTTTTTTTTTTTTTTTTTTTTTTGAGGTAGCCAATTTTAATGCAAGAAGAGAAACGTAACGGCACACAGGATTGATAAGCTCAATAGTAGTCACAAGTTCGTGCCAAATGGCGATTATCAAATTGTTATCAAATCATTAAGGCAGGTAGAGTCGAAAAGTTGATTTTGGGAGGAGGAGAAAAATTGTGAAGAGATGTAGAAGAAAGAGGATTAGAAGAATTCCGAAGATTAATAGATCCAAATTTCTACATAGGCTCGGCTTGCGCCTATGCCTTGGAGTCTTAGGTGGGGGAGAGGGAAGAAGTTGCGGGGAGGGGTTCTGGGCAGATGGTGGTTTCGTTACGAGGAAGAAAGGTTGGAGGGGAGGTGGATGAGGGGGGAGAGGGTCGTCTGAAGAGGAGGAATCATCTGGATCAGTCTTTCCGGACTTCCTCTTCTTCTTCGATTGCGACGGCTGTCTGGCTGGCTTCTTCGGCATTCTGAATGTTGCTGTCCCTAAAGCTCACACACTTCTTCCTTCCCTTAGTGGAATAGAAGAAGAAACGGGGGTAGTCTGGGATGAAGGGAGGAGAAGGGTCGAGAGGTAAGATCGGGTATCGAAGGTAGTCAGGAAGGTTGCCGAAGGCTTCCTTCCGAATGAATCTGAACCAGGGTCCCGGCCCCCAATCTGCAAGCTCCTCAATGTGAAGAATAGTGATCACTGCTTCACCCAGAGTGGTGAAGAACTCTCTGAAATGGGCTGTAATGGGGAACGAGAGAAAAGGAGACGAAGCCAAGCCGGGGAGGTTCTCCGCCAGAGCGAGGAGCCCCTTCTTAACCCATGAAATTGCTGACCGATCGTTCATGCATGCCACGCACATTGCGAGGCAATAAAAGTTGGCGGCAATGTTGGTGGCGCAAGTCAGCTGGAATTCAGCCAAGTCCAAACGAGCTCTGAGAAGTTCTCTTGGTGAAAGTGATAGCAGCGGCCTCGAGTCGACGAAGGTGAGCTTGAAAAGAGTGGCAGAAAAGAGCGAATATGAAAGCAGCTCCACAGCGCGCTTTTTCTTGATGACGCAAAATGACTTATCCCCGTGCTGGAAGCGAAATTTGGCAGCTTCGTTGCAGTGAGTCTCGATGTCTTCCGCGTTCAGCAGCGATACATACTTGGTAATGACCCTTTTCTCCTGGAGTTTGATGAAGGAGGAAGGGATGAGTAAAGGTAGCGCAAAGAGGTGGAGAGGTAGCAGAGTGACAGTAGGGGGGTCGATGACGAAGATCCTTTCTAAAACGGGGTCAGTGATGATTGGAGGTGAAGTTCTTGGTGCGGGGAAGTCAATAAGAGATGCGAAGAGTTGGAGAAGTGAGTGCGATGGCACTGGCAAGGTGGATTGAAGCATGAGATGAGCAGGGAAGTGGTGTTTTAGAAGGATCAAAAAGTGGAGGTTGCTCGGGTGGAGGAGAATGATATGAGAAAGAGGGGGATACCGATGCGGGAGAGGAGGAAGAAGAGTGGGGAGGAGGAGGGGAGGAGGGAGACGAGGATTGGCGCGTTGGTGACTGGGGTAAAGTGCAGAGCGGTAAACTGCTGGAAGCGCCTTTGCTGTTCATGGTGCTGGGCCGGAAAAAGCTTACCTATAAGTACGACTGAAGAGGCCGGTTGCGGTGCCGTAAAACAGGAGCGGGCCCGTTTTTCCTGAAAACTACCTGGTTCAAGGAATAGATGTGAGAAACCGCTGTAGATGCGGAAATGCAGGTGTTTCAGTCAGAAAAGGAGGGGGAGGAAAAGAGAGCGCGGCACAGGCCTAGTGGGGACACGACAGCCGCTTCGCCAGAATAGGCGATGTGAATGACCCGTCCTCCAAATGTCTGGCTGACTCGACTTGATGTGACGTGCAGGTTTGCGTATGCGATGGG